GGTTCCAATGCTCAGATAACACAATGAAACCAGGGTTTGGGTTCCAATGCTCAGATAACACAATGAAACCAGGGTTTGGGTTCCAATGCTCAGATAAACCAATGAAACCAGGGTTGGGGGTTCCAATGCTCAGATAAACCAATGAAACCAGGGTTTGGGTTATGGCTAATTTCACTGGAAGACCAATGCTCAGATAAACCAAGGAAACCAGGGTTTGGGTTCCAATGCTCATATAAACCAATGAAACCAGGGTTTGGGTTATGGCTAGGTATCATCTGATTTGCAGCGTTGTTTGCCTGAAATCAAACTTGTTACAAAATAAAAAGTTGAAATGACACGAGGTTTCATGCAAGAGGTTTTTATATCCAAACAAAGTTATGACAGTTGACTCCAACTTTCAAGTAGTAACCATACACCAATATCGTACACATGTTCAATTTAGTACACTAGAGTGCACCAGGTTTGCACCGAGATCAGAGAGATGTTAAATATAACACATTAGGTTTGAGACATCGTGCATATCAAATTCAACTGATTCAATATTAGCGTGCTAAGTTTGCACTGACATCATACACACACACACAATTTGACACTACAGTACACTAGGTTTTTTGAACTGACATTGTATACATGTTCAATTTAATAAACTACATACAATCTTAGCTTAAGTTATGTAAAACACAACCTACTTAAAGTACTGTGCAATTGTGTTAGAATAAGTCATTTAAGAACAGAGCGTGCGAAACTGCATCCTTGGCAATCTGAAAAAGTTAAAAGATGCACGTCTCCAAAATGTGAAATGTATAAACAGTTTAATAACAAACAGAATCTGTTACTTGTTTTGGTTCTAAAAGATCACAGGTAAAAATAAAGTAAAAGGATACCCAGCACTGAATTTAATTCCACGTACTTTGTCGTCTAATATGAAAGACAAAAAATATATATATATATAAACAATAGTGAAATTGATGAAACAAAAAATGAGAATATATGACTTGTTTATTTTTGTTAGATATACAGAGTGTAATATTTATGGTTATTACATTTCACCACGTTAACTTGTAGCAACGATATAACCATACGTAATATATTATGTAAGTCCGAAGTAAACAAGTTTTATGTTTTACATAACAGGGTACTTCCTTAAATTATAAGGTGAAAATTGTTACCAACTGCCTTACAGGTGACAGAATTTTAATGAAAGGTTTAAAATAAATAAGGAGTTGATGCTTCAAAAATCTTTCGTTTAATATCATATCGTTAATGAAAGTGTTACAATATCCATATTGAAATTTATCTAGAACCCTACTAACATACAAGGGGAAACAACAATAAAACTGTTGTTTAAAAATATAATTAATCTATTTAAAATATCATATACTGAAACTATTAGCTAACTGTGAAGTTCTTATAATTTAAATTTAAAGTTATTTATTTTTTTTTATCAAAAAAACTGTTAACTTAGTAGCATTCTGTACATTTATATCATAATTTTTTTTTATTAAAACATATCGTGCAGAAAAAACAGTAAAAGTACAAGTTCTTGATTTGATTTTTGTGAAATTTTATACCAAATTTAAGTTTGTTTATTTTGTCACAAATAAAATGCCATATTTTTTGGAGACCAAATATATAATGCTAAAAACAAACTAGATCATTCCCCGAAAGGAACTTTCTGAAGAAAAACTAATGGGTATTAGAAACCATATATCACGTTTGTTTGTTACGGATTTTGCACAAAGCTACACGAGGGCTATCTGCACTAACCGTCCCTAATTTAGCAGTGTAAGACAAGAGGGAAGGCAGGTTTTCATCACCACCCACTACCAACTCTTGGGCTACTCTTTTACCAACGAATAGTGGGATTGACCGTCACATTATAATGCCCCATGGCCGAAAGGGCGAGCAAGTTTTGTGTGATGGGGATTCGAACCCACGACCCTCAGATTGCGAGTCGAGCACCCATATATCACGAATGGCACAATTAAAGGCAAACAACTAAAAAAATGAATATTCACAACATCTTTCATAACTTATCATAAGAATCATCACTAATTTATCCATTTTATCCAACAAAAATACATGGTACCAGGAAGAAAGAATTTAATAATTCTGGAAGTAAATTCCAGTTAGGAGGCAGTGAGAAAAAAAGTTATTTGTTTGCCAAGATTAAGGTTTTTGGAATGCAAATAGCTTTGTAGCAGATATTTGCACTTTAGACTGTAAAAAAAACAAACAATTTCTTGTTCATAAATATATTACTCACTACATATTGAAATACTGGGAATTTTCTTGAGATATTTGTACCTGTAGATACAAATAACTGATGTGACAATGGAGGAAGCTCATTTAGTCTAGAGATTTTTAATTAAAGAAAACTTTAAATCCAAGATATAAATTGATAAAAAAAAAGATGAAATAATAATCGCTGCTAATATTTCTTCATAATCTGAATAACAATGCTTGGGTGCTTAACTTTACATGTACCTTTGCTTTCATAACATCCTCTTCAAGACACTAAGACAATATTAACGACCACTCTATGTAGTTATGAAACTTAGTTTATTTTGCTGGAATAATTAGATAAAGAAATGCATCTCAATTACTCATTCTTTTATAAAATAACCTTTAATTGTACAGAGGGTTGAGTATATTATATTAAAACGATTTTGAAAATGCTAATCACGTAACACCTATAGCTGATATAAAACCGGGATGTAATGACATGTATTAGAACGACATGTTGACATTATTGGGAATTTTGTAGGTATTCTAATGCCACCAAAAAAACTGATTACTTTTGAGTAGGATATGTAATAGCCCTTTCAAACATAAGGTATGCATACTCTCAGATTATAAGGATGTGAGATTTAGAATTTCCAGGATAGGAAATGACATAGGAATATGTATCAACTTGGGAAACCTGGACCATCCTGAAAGAGAGTTGCAACAAATTGTACCTCTTCCATGGTAAGCAAAGTGCAGCAACTTGTAACAGATGAGAATTTCAAAGGTCAATGACAAAAGCCATCCACATTTCATAATCAACAAGATCTCTTTTTCAGGAAACAAAGTGCAGCAACTTGTAACAGATGAGAATTTAAAAGCTCAAAGGTCAATGACAAAAGCCATCCACATTTCATAATCAACAAGATCTCTTTTTCAGGAAACAAGATGGTATGGGTTCAACTATCCATCAATTACCTCAAGCACTTGGAGAATGAAAGTGGTACTTAGACTATTTCATAAGAAAACATACAGATCAAGTCACAAAACACAGCACCTATGGAATTCTGTGTGATCTAATTGTGGAAACAGTGATCCTCATGCAGGGATGAGTGGTATAATTTGGACAAACATGGCGGCAGCCTCAGGATAGAGCCTTTGGCAATAGAAACAATGCTCTGGGACTATTATTAAAATACATGGTCATCAGGAAGAGCATGATCAGTTGTGGCAACATGGGCCATAAGTGGGTTGCAAGGTTTCAAAAGCATTTTGATATAATATTCTCAACCTCTGTACTAAGCTATTAAGTTCTGCAAAGAAAAATGGAAATTAACCCCAATATTTCCAATAAAGCAATGTTGTAATCACAAATATATAGAAATGGGTAAACAAACTTTGCACCTACTGTGAGTGTTTTGATAATATATGGAAATGGTGATGATGTCTAGTAGGATAGAAATTGCATCTATCACTAAGGCCTGAAATACAGAGAAATAAAAGGTTGTAATAAGCCTATTTCAAACAAGTAAGTGGCATGAAAACTACATTTCGGAGGATGATTAAAATTGATTTAAAATATTACGTTAGAAATTTTGAACCTAACATGAAAGAAAAAGGTTGCAATGTAAAATCAAACATTAACTTCCCAAAATGCCAACATAATTAGCTAGCACAAACCTTCTTTTTTTGTTTCATCAATGCAACACACAAAAGAAGGTACTAATTCTTGTTTGCTTCATTAGTTTTTGACGATTCAATGTTTCACAGAAATCAGTATTGAATTTCTTTCATTTGACAAGGGGAACTGACCATTTCTAGCATCAACAAAACGTGTTTGAAAAACTTAAGTGTTCGGATCATAACACTGGGAAGTCTTTACTGGTCAATATGAAGATTTTGACACTTTCACGTGGGTGTATATTTAGTACCTAATTTTTAGCAATAATTTTTATTTTACCACAATATAAAAGTAGCTTTTTATGTTAAAGTTTATAATCTAACAGTTCTTAAGTATTTTCAAACCAAGCTTTGCAGATTAATATAATTGACACAAGAACTTACCATAAATACTGGTTCATCAGAATCTTGCCAATGAAGGCTCCACAATAAAGTCACCAGAAAAATTGAATTGTAGTACAAGTATGAAGAGGGAAGCCAAGGACTTTGGAGAGCCCTTAATTTAAAGATAAACACAATACTCAGTATAGGAAATAATTCTTAAATTTATCACTCATCTATGATTTACTTATTTATTTACAATTCATGGGAAGATTCCTAGAAATGCTTAAAGTGCTCTACTGAATGTGATTGTTAACTTTCTCCATAGATGGCACCACATGCTATTAATTAAAAATAGCTAGAACAAGAGATTCCTAGCACTTACTAGAATGTATCAATAATTGTAGTTTAAATGACATTTGCAGAATAATATCTAATAATAAGATTTGGTGCCCAATGATAAGCATTTTGTCACTATCAAATTATCAGGAAACTTATAGATGCTTGTAACATGAAATATATAGATTTATGAAGTAGAAAATGATAGTTTATCAGTTCCTGCATCACATATAATATCCAAGTTAACTGCACCATAAAATCCTCAATCATACAAAAATCTCCTTTTCTTTGTTTTTCAGTGCTAGTAGTGCATATATGTATACATTTTCCTTACTCAGTAGTTCATAACTCCCCTTCACATTAAATATGAATAGTAATAAATTTAAGATGTATTTAAAAAGATGTGACATATATTTCACACATAATATTCATCTAATTAGCCCACCTAGCTCTTTTTTTTTTTTTACATTTTGTTTGTTTATAATTAAGCACATAGTTACCCAGTGTGCCCACCATTGGTATTTAGTGCTAAAAGTCTGCAGACTTACCGTTGAGACACCGGGAGTGATTTTTTTTTTTTTTTAGTTTTCCTTTCCCCACATCTTATCAAAAAACATATTTACAGAATTAAACAGTTACTTTATTTCAGTGATCTGAGTTGTTCCCTGAAGAAGAAAACAACCTATTACACTAGTCCTCGTGCAATTCATTTTAACATTTTTACAGATTTCTCATAATACTCATACTATAACCTGTTTTTCCCAACTTTATGTATAACTATACAGCATACTATGTTAGATTTTCACATATTTGTTTAGTGTTTTTTGGTATCAAAGATACTTCTAATGTTCTTTTTTTATAATTTTTATTATTTCACCTGCTGCTCAATTAACATACGCTGCACCTAGTCATAAGCACCTGGTTTTAAATACCACAATGTAACAGCTTGAGTAGCCAAAACAACATGTGCTGTTAAATAATAAGTTTCATAAGATTTTATTTGGGGAAAAGGTTACAAAGCAACTGTATGTCAAACAAAGAATAAAAAGTTAACCAAATTACAGATAGTATTCATTTAAAAAGCAATGGGTAAAAAACTCACCACATTGACAGGATAAAGTGTATAAAGAAGACACCCTATTCAGAAAGAGAAAGTAAATATTAAGCAACATGAATGATCAAAACAATATCGTTTCCTAACCACTTTCAGAAAGCTTCAAATTACTATTAAAAAAAGTTGTTGTTATTTTCAGACAAGTTCTCAGCACTAATATCAGTTACATTAAAACAATTAGTGAATCCAGTAACTTGTAGTAGATCTTTGTGACTAGCCTTTAGTAGATATTGTCCTACTACTTAGCCTACTTACATGGAAACAATCTCTAGCATATAATTCACATTTACCCTGAAGACATTCCCACGGGTTCATCCGGCCCATCTGTTGCTCCCAGCATATCCCTGGTAATCTTAATTTTAACCTTATATCCAACAAAGTAATTCATTCCCACATTTAGCCTGAGGGAGCTCTTCCAAAATGGCCACACATCTATTTCCATCCCTTAACTTCTTTAGACTTTTTACACAGTTCTTTTGATTTATGTTTTCCACAATACTACAGAAATAGAAATCTCTTAGGTTCCAGCAACTAAACTGTGAACAAGCTCTAAATGTCCTGTACTTTAGCATTGGGTCTGGTGGTTAAGTGGTTTTACTTGCAATCTGAGGGTCACAAGTTTGAATCCCCAGCCATCAAACATGCTCATTCTATATGGTTACTAACTGGGCTAGCCATCTGAGTGAAAAAGTTCTTGGCTTACAAAATTACCAGCCAACTAAAGTCAAATTAATTCTTGGTTTACAAAATTACCAGCCGACTAAAGTCAAAT